GGGCCCTTCCCAGCCAAGGCCCTTCCCAGCCAGGGCCCTTCCCAGCTGGGGCCCTAGCTCTGAGTTCAGATGGGTGTGGTGGGGGGGGGGCAGCTTGGAGTAATAATTATGACCACCCCAATAACCGGCATTTGGGGGGCACCCACTTGTGCCAGCACTGGTGGCAACACTTTGGGTGGATTAACTCATTTAACCCCGTGAGGTAGCTACTATTGTTGCCCACAGTTTACAGATGAGGAAACTGAGGCTCAGGAAGGTTAAGAAGCTTACTTAAGGCCACAGAGCTGGGAAACAGTAGAACGGGGCTTTGAATCCAGGTGATCTCTGACAGGAAGTCTAGTCTCTTGCCCTAAGCCTCAGTTTCCTCAACTGTAAAACAGGCACATAAGACAGTAATACCTCCCTCCCTCGGTGACTGCGAGGGTGAAACAGGCTAAAGTTAAGAATGTGCTTTACAGTCAAAGGCCTTGCAGATGGGAAGGCAGGGGGAGGGAGTGAGGGGTCTGGGGGAGGCCCATCGAGGCCACGTGGTTGGGAGTAGAGCACAGACTTTGCCATCATATAGCCCATGGGCTGGGGTCTCAGGCTGTTTGTGGCATGGCTTTGGATTGTTCCCAGTTTGGAGCCCCACTTCCTCCTTCTCAAGTAGGGGGCGTCCTGGCAGTGCTGCCAGGGCCTTCTTGGTGGGGCATAGGTGCCTGGGGCATGTTGTTCCCACCCAACCCTGGGATAGAACCTGACTCCATCCTCGGCATTCTCTCACCAGCCAGGGCTCCAGGCCCCCATTCCCAGGCCATACATGGTGCTTCTAATGGGTGGGGGCTGGGATTGCTCTAAGCACCCAGTCTAACACGTCCCCAGCCTTGGGCAGGCCCCACCCGAGCACTTAGCCCAGGGCTATGGTCACTCGGCTTTTCTCTCTGGCTCACACCTGCCAGAGGGTGAAGATTATGGAGTGTGGCCCCTGCCCTACAGCCCCTATCTAAAAAGCCCTGTGGAAAACCTGATACTTCAGTGGCCCCAATGGGGAAGATGGGCTCAGGCCCTTCCAGCTCTGACACCCCAAGATTCTCCATGTCAAGGCTGTAGGGGTGGCCCCCAGGTACCCTGTGCTTCCAAGTTCAGATTCTCATGCTCTAGGCCCCTCTGAGGCTCTCTCCACCCCAGGCAGAGTCTGGCATCTGCACCAATAGACAGCACTCAGAGAACAGGCAAGATGTTTACAGTTATTCATTCCTTCAGCTGACAGTTATTGAGCAACCACGGTATGCTGGGAGCTGGGTATGCCGGCTCACCTGGAGCTGTCTAGTGCTAGAGACTGATGTCTAAATGGGCATGACAACACGACGGGTCCATGCTGTGGGAACCCAGAGTGAGTACCTACTCCAGCCTGGGGGGCTTCCTGGAGGAGGTGCTGGGTAAGCTGAGTAGGCAGGAGAAAAGGGTGGAGGTGTTCTTCAGAGAACTGCCTGTGTGCATAGACCCACCCATTGACATGGTGTCTGTAAGAAGCGGGTGCAGAAAAGGGGTTCCCCTTTAGCATGGCATTCAAGACCCAGGTGCCATGTGGTCGCTGCACCTCTGCTGGTCCCAGTCCTGCCACTTCTAATCCTTGTACAAAGACATATGGATTGTAATCATCTGTGTCTATCTCACCTCGGAGGCTGGGAGGTCCCTGAGCCACAGGACTAGGTCTCCTTCCTCATTCCATTCCCCAGGGCTTCCCACGAGTCTGCACACAGCAGGTGCTCAATGATGCTGCAAGGAGCTTTCCCCACCCCACAAGTCTGTCTCCAGAGACTGAGCTGTGTGCCCCTCCTTTGTGCTCCTACGGCCCTTTGCAGTACGTCAGACTACGTTTGCAGTATGTCATTGGCACAGTACTTTCCAGTTGGCAAAGCCCTTTTACACATATTAATGCATTCGATGCTCACACAAGCCCTGTGCAAAGCGTCTTTGTTGTCACCATCAGCAGCAGCAGCATCACCTGCCAGAAGACAGCACAGCATGATGCTTTAAGTGTGTGGGCTCTGCCTCGGGACTGCCTGAGCTCAAGTCCTGGCTCTTAACACTTACTAGCTGTGTGACCTTGAGCAAGTAGCTTAACCTCTCTGTGCTTCAATTTTCCCTCTATGCTTTAAGACTGGAGCAACGTAGAGTACGAAGAACACTACCTACCACATGGTCAGCATTTAATAATAATGGTAGCTACAATTCTATTTGTACCTAAAGACAGAGAAGATCAAAGCCAAGGTCACCCAGCTGTCTGGTGGAACTGGGTTTTATCTCTAGGTCTTTATACTTCCCATCTGGTATTTTGGGATTATCGCCTCACGTTACCCCCTCCCCCCATATCTCCCTTTTCACCCAGTCTCCTAACTTATCTGTTAATGCATCTATCTGTCCTTCTGGGTAGAGGGCTCCTCCAGGGCAGGGGCCCGAGGTTCTTCACCTGTATTAGCACTCTGACTGGTTCCCTGCTGTCTCCCCAGTGCCTGGAATAGTGAGTGGCCACTGGGAGGCTGTATTGCAGGAAGAATACCCTCCAGGCACCAGGCATCCTGCTGAGTGCTTCCCCATGGATTATCTCACTGAGCCTTCTAGACTCTTCTATGAGGTGGGTACAAATTCTTTGAGGTACAATCAACTGCACATAATATCAGTTTGGATATATGCATACACCTGTGAGCCCATCATCATAAGGAAGACCACAAACATTTCATCTCCCCAAATGCTTTCCTGTGCCTCCTGGAAATCCCTCCCTCTCTACAATTTATAGATTTATTCCCACTTTATAGAGGGGAACATTGAGGCACAGAGACGTTAAATAACGTTTCAGAGACACTCAGCCAGCAAGTGGCCGGGATTGGAACCAAGGTAACCTGTGCCCAGCCTGCCTCTTAGCCACTGTGCCAAGCTGCCTAGGCAGTAATGGGGGGCCCTCCTCCACTCCACATTTTATGAAGAGACAGCGGGTATGATGGGCTCACTGTCAGAGGGTATGAGGAGTGAGCTGACACCCAAACGGATGTGTTTTGTACAAAGGGCAGATGACGGAGACAGTGCAAGGGGGCGAGACAAAGGTGCCCTAATGCCAGGTGACCAGGTTGAGTTGGTGAGCCTTCGGGTCTTGTGGTGGGTGCTGGGTGCAGTGGGCGTGTGTGTGACTCTGTGACTGTGACGGTGTAACTGCTAAACGCAGGGACATAACAGCTCCCCCAGTTGGGGGCGGGAGGCGTTAACTGTGACAGTGCTGGTGTGGGGGTGTGGGCCCCTGGGCCTCTGCTGAAGGAGGTGGTACCCATCAGGGTGGCTGGAGGATCATGATGGCGGCCCTCTAGGATACTGCAGGGCTGTGGCGGTTTGGGTGACTTTGCAGTTCAACAAATTCAAAGTCGGCTGACACCAGCACTGCCTGTTCTGTGCCAGGCAACCAGCTAGGAGGAGGAGACAGGGCCCCAGCATGCTACAGGCTGCCGGGCTTTGTGTATTCACCTTGTGGCTGGCTCGGTAGGGTGCTTTGTGCCCGTAATGGCATTTAATCCTCACTTAGAGGCTGGACAGAGGCTCGCAGAAGGGAAGTGACTTGCCCAAGGTGACCCAGCTGCTCCTCACCACAGCGGGATCTGAAGCTAAGCTGTCGGGATAGCCGGAATCCTTCTACCATGCCTGCGCGTGGTGCAAATGTCTGGTCCTGGAGATGTGCGGCTGTAGGGACCCTAGGCCTTTGGCCTTGGAGACATTCCCCCAACCACGTGGTCTCGGATCTAATCCATGGTCACTGCGCTGAGCTGCGGGGTGGTTGGCCGCTACTAGTTCTTCCTTCCTCAGGGCTAGATTCTTGGGCAGAGTGCTGCGCGGCTCTAGGAGCCCCTAGCGCTCCGCCGCGCCCCAGGCCCTCCCTGTGCTCCCGCTGTCCTCCCCTCCCTCCCAGCGCTGACTCCTGGCCAGAAGAGGAAAGGCTGTCTCCACCCACCTCTCGCACTCTCCCGTCTCCTTTATAAAGGCCGGAACAGCTGAAAGGGTGGCAACTTCTCCTCCTGCCGCCGGGAGCGGCCGCTTGCCTCCCTGCGCGCCCGCAGCCACCCCCGCCGCCTCCCCGAGGGCTCTCCTCAGGCCGCCAGCGCCCATCTTTCATTCCCCAGATAGATATTTTGCGCACACACATATACACACACGCGCAAAAAGGAAAAAAATAATCCCACCCTCCAGCCTCGTTGCAAAGAGGAAGCCGGAGCAGCCGCAGCTCGCAGCCCGCAGAAGACGCCCAGAGCGGCGGGCGGACGGACCGACGGACTCGCGCCGCGTCCACCTGTCGGCGGGGCCGGGCTGAGCGCGCACGTCGCGCGCGCGGAGCAGCCGTGCCCGCCGCCCAGGTCCCGCGCCAGGGCGCACACGCTCCGGCCCCCCCACCCGGCCGGGGCGGGAGTTTGCACCTTTCCCTGCCCGGGTGCTCCGGCCGCCGCTGCAAAGCCAACTTTGGAAAAAGTTTTTCGGAGGAAGCTTGGGCTTTGAGGTGCCCAGCCCTGCGCTTTCCGATTTGGGGGACCGTTCCAGAAAATGTTGCAAAAAAGCTAAGCCGGCGGGCAGAGGAAAACGCCTTTAGCCGGGGAGTGAAGACGAACCATCGGCTGCCGTTTTCCTTTTCCTCTTGGAGGTTGGAGTCCCCTGGGCGCCCCCACACGGCTAGACGCCTCGGCTGGTTCGCGACGCAGCCCCCCGGTCGTGGATGCTCGCTCGGGCTCGGGATCCGCCCAGGTAGCGGCCGCGGACCCGTGTCCGGCACCCAGGCCCTCCCCAGCCCCCCAAAGACGGAGCCCGGGCCGGGGGCGGCGGCGCCC